ATATATTAAAATAAAAAATTAATAATTAAAATAAAAAATTAATAATTAAAAATATATTTTCAATAAAAATATTTCATATCTTTTAAGCTTTTTAAATCCGAAGGGAATAAAGATTGCATTGTAAAAGAAAACATCAAAATAATGTTTTATTTATCATAATAATATTCATTTTTTTTACTTAAATTTGTATTGTTTATTTATGCAGATTTATAAATGCGTTCAACTCTGTCGATGACTCTTATCGTTCCTTCTTTCTTTTTGTCTTTTTTTGATAAAAACACTCTTCGGTCATTCGAACTGGCTGCAATAAAATCTAGAAAAAAAGAATCATCAAAACTCCACAAGTACAAAAATTGAATTATTATTTTCCAATGCAATTATTTCATTTCTCGCTGCAGAACAGAATTTCAGATACAATATTGATGAATTATGATCATTAAATTAAATTAATTCGTTCAATCTCGAAACATTAATATCCTTCGATGTTAACGTAACACCTTGACCTAAGAAAATTTTTTTATATTTATTGCACCCCTTCACCCATAAACAATACACTGAAATTGCATAAATAATGAAAAAAAAGGAATTAATTGCCTTCCTAATTTATTAAATAATTAAATAATTAATTTCTACACATCTAATGATAAGTAATACTTAATTTTCATATTCATATTGAAATTATTTGTAATCACAATTGTATCAATTTACAATTCCAGTGCATAAGGGTGATTTAGAAACATTAATACAATGGTAAATTAATTTGATATATCTATAATCAACTTACAACCTTAATTCATAATTTGCCCTTAATTTATCACGATTATTCGATTACTCAATTTGGCAGAGGATCGATTTATAGGGGTGTACTTCATTTGAAAATATTAGCGCGTTGTTTTATATAATTTTTTCGCTTTTTTTTTTTAAATATCATTATCGTTTGCAATAAACGAGCAATTATTAAATCGACAAATTCAATTGTCGATATTGTTCATGAATCATTATACATATTCTACCTGAGATTTCTCGCGAACGGATCTACATTCATTGTCGAATTTCTCTCATTCACGATAAAAATATTTAATTGTGAAACATCGAGCACAAAACTTATGATCTGTAAAATAATGTGTTAAATAATTATTTATTTTATTCATTCGTTCTGAAAAGTAATCGAAATTTTTTAAAATTATGTTTTCTTTTCTTCCGATCATTCAATAATCTTCAACTTTTTTTATTAATTCAATGAATTTCAATCATTTTCAAACTTTTGTTATTTCAAGTTTATATTTCTGCAAATTATACCGTACTTATAAGTTATTTATTTTTATCGAAAACATTAATGTCTTAACCCTTTTGCGCAGGAATTTTGATTTGTTTGTTTAATCAATTGAAAATAAATTAAATTAAATTATTATATTCTCATCTGATTATTAAAATATTTATATAATTTCAAATTTCTATTTATATATATATATATATGTATATATATATATCGATAAATTTATATCAATATTCATATGTTTATTTTAGTTAAATATTATTATCAAAATATAAAAAATTTTGTTTTTGATACAAATTCAAATATTAATAATACAACATTTCATTTAATGGATCAATGATTTTCACATTTAATTTATCGAAAAATTTATTAATCTATGTCTAAAATGTTTTAACATATCGTAATAATTAATATATCGCATAATAATTCACATTTTAAAAGGAAAAATTTCCCCTCGAGATATTCCGTTATTCATGATATAATCAAACAAAGAATAATTTTTAATGAAAAAGTAAATTAAAAAGGAAAAAGCAAGTAGATAGAAAATTATTTTTCATATAAATAATAACATACAGTATAATTTTTTTTTTATTTAAAATTCGTTAAAATCATTTTTCAAGAAAATGCATCAACTTCTTGATTATAGATCTTCAATTTCAGTTTTTTTAGAAACAAAAAGCCATAAAATTTTATTCCACATTGCTTATTTTCATATAATCTTCTATCCATAATTTATATGTATTCAATCGAAAATTATTCAATCTCACTTGTACTCGAAAAATTTTGAATTTAAAATTTAAATGAAAAAATATCATTCTTTCTTTTGATTTATTTATTTATTTTTTCCCTACTTAATTGTATAAAATATTTTATTTGTATTTTTTTCAATGACTAAATTAAGCGCGAAGGGTTAAGATTTTTTTTTTTCAGAAATAATTTTTCAACCAAATTTTATGTCTCGTTTCCAGCCATTTACAATCACTCTATTTGTTCTCGCAGACTACAATTCTCTTTAAGCACTTATTGAAAATGGACCACGAAGAAAGCGGACACTTTCGTTCTGGCCACACTGCACAACACTATGGACTTCCTGTATCATGATGAAGAGAGTCACTGTCACTTTCGAGGTAAGTTACATAGCTATCTGTGCTGTCGGGGTGTTGACCCATGTCTGGACCACCACCACTGGGATGGTGTGGGCCAGGGGGTGGTAGAGAACCACCACCTCCACCACCTCCACCGTCGTTCATTGGTCCACCGAGCATTCCCGGTGGAGGTAATTGTGGTGGTCCGCTGTGAAGATCATAACCGTGCATCTGAAATTAAACGTTGATATCATTTTTATGAATCGTATATAGAAGAAATGGTAGAAATATGAGACGAAGTGGAAATATCAAAATTTTGATTTGTTTATGTAGCAGTGAGATTTTTAAAGTTAATTGAAACTCGAGTAGAATGAAAATTATGATCTTATACAACAGCTATCATCATTCATTAATATTGTTTAATTTAAGGAATTTCTTTTTTATTTGATTTACTTGAAATCACATGTATAATTATTAGTAATAACAATTATATAAAATTTTACAATGCTGTTTTACTTATCAAGTATTAAGTAGAAAGGAAAAAATGAAATATTAATTTTTAACAATAATATTGTATGTTGATATTATTTTATTGCAGTTTTTTTTAATCGAATCAAGTTTTCTTATTTTCATCTTATCTAAAAAATATAATAATAATAATTTTAGAAGATTAATATGTATATTTATATTATATCGCGTCTTTGATTATGATTTAATGACAAGAAGAGAGAAGAAATTTTATTAGGAATAGAAAGAAAGAAATATAATTTTCAGAAATTTTTATGCAATTTATATAATTTCATTTTATCAACTAAATTTATTTTTCATATTCAAACTTTTTTATAATATTTTCCTTACTTATACGTATCTTACTAATAATAATAATACTAAAATTTTTTAATATTAAAATAATATTAAAATATTTTTCTCTTCTAATTGTGAAGTATTCAAATCATATCAAATATTCTATCCATTATTCTAACATTATATTATACTGAAAATTTTGATTAATTACCTGTGATACCAGATGATGGAAAGAAGGAGTGTTAGGATCTAGCCTGTCTAAATCAGTGTGCAGAGCAAAGTCTGAAAGAGCTTTCCACGGTGGTTGATAAGCTTGCACTTCCAATGGCGTCATTCCTATAGAACTCTCGTGTCTTACAGGACTACTTGCCACCATAGGAATGCCATGCATTCCACCAAAGCCTAATTTACGGCCATCCTGCAACATAAAGTACCTTCGTTCGTTAAATTGACGTATCGTTCAAATGACAATAGTTTTACGAAAATAATATAGTATAAACGATAATTTTTTTTTAATTTTGTATCACAGATCAAGATTCAAAGTGTATAATAATTCCAATAATTTGCTATAATAAATCTTAAATATATTATACGTACATAATTAGAAATAATATATTTATCTATCTATTTAATTATATGAATACAAGTACATAATTATTTACATATAATATCATTTCTGTTTCTGTTTCGATAAAAATTCGCATTAATTTTATCAAAAGTAATTAATTATTGCAATGATAAAAAAAAACCTGAAATCTATCAGTTCGATTGATTTGACAGTTAAAATGCTAAAAAAGATAAAATAAATGAAACATGATATATAATGAAACATAAAATAGCAAAATTCGAATAGTCACCTTTTCTTGCATTTGTTGTTTCATGGCGATCGTTTTCTTTTTATCTTTGCACCGTTTGTTCTGGAACCATACCCTGATTACTCGTGGACTCAAGCCTGTCATCTCGACTAATTGTTCTTTCATCAACGCATCCGGCCGCGGATTCGCGGCATAGCAAGTCCTCAAAGTATGAAGTTGTTTCTCATTTAGAACGGTGCGAACTCTGGTTGGTTTCCCGTCAGAACCGCCGCCGCTTTTATGGCTGCCCGATCCTCGAGTGCCACCCATACCAGCTTTGTGAGATCCACTCTCAGATCCGGAGTCTGCAAACAAAGCAACGTCACGATTATTCGTGTCAATCTTTTCACCGTTCATTCTTTTAAAATTTTTAATTTCGATCCGTTTCTTCTTTTTTTTTTTCGCCTTCTTTGATAAACGTAAGTGTTAGTTTGATACTTCATTGCTTGAGTACGTATAATTTTTCATAAAAGTATTGTTAATGGATTAATGAGAAGTAAGGATGAGTCGCTAAATAAATATTTAAAAATATAATAGAATCTATTGTACAGAAATCTTGAATTAAATCTTGAATTAGAAATACTTGGAAACAATGCATTGTTAATATTGTATTAAATTTTAATTTAAAAGAATTTACAAAAGTATCTGTATTCAAAAAAAGACGAATAAGTAAAAATTGAATTTCCAGTTACAAAAATAATTAAAATGATGATTGCAATAAGAATGCAATAAAGTTTTGATTATTAGAACTTTTATTAATAAAATAATTAATTATTAAAATATTAACAGAAAATTTAATTTCAATCGATGAAAGCTTTCATTATTCGCACGATATTATCTCATTTCAAAAAGAAAAAAAGAATTTCAAAAAAAAAGAAAAATAAAATTGAATTAATTAATGATTATTGAATTTGCAAATCAACTATTTGTATAAAACGGAAAGAACAAGAAATTAAAGAAAAATTGCGAAAATTCGGAAGAAATTGATAATATATATATATATGACAGTATTTAAATGATTTTCTATAAAATTATGTTACGAGAATTGTCAAAAGCTTTAATATTTATAATTAATATTTATAATTATCTATAACATATTTTATAAGAAATAATTTCAATAAAAAAAATAAATAATTATTTGATTATTTCAATGAGTTTTGATTATCTGATAATTGAGATTCTATTGTAAAATAATTTAATAAGAAAATATTTTCAGTAATCTAATAAAAATAATTACAATACTATAAAGCGTTAATACATGTATTTGTAAGGCTAATTTTAGAAATCAAACGAAACATAAAAGTTTATAGAAAAATATCGGTTGATTTAGTTTCATTAAATTATAAGCAACTCAAGTTTACATTAGATGAAAGAAGACGAAGCGAGATGTAACAAAAATAAGGTGGTTTATCTTCATTTTATTTCGTTTAAAAACTTAATAAATACAGTATAATTTCGAATAAAAATAAAACAACAGTTTTTTCTAAATTATTCAATTTCTTATATTCTAATCCAAACAATATAAACAATTAAACTGGTAAATATTTAATTATTTTCTGCTAGTTTTAAAATTTTTCAAGAACTCAATATCTGATGAATTAATATTCTCTATATAATTTTCTTTTGCTCGTTTTATACTTTTTATATCACTAATTATAGATTTTCCAAATTCTTGTGCTAAATTTATTGTAATATTCGCTATTTTCCAATTTCTTAATAATATTACGTTTTGTTTCATACTTGTTTCCGATATTATTAATATATATAGACTTGTAAACACTTTAAATACTATATTGAAATAATGTGAAAAGATTATTAATGAAGTACACGTAAATGTAAATATAGCATGGACTACATATGGACAATATGAAATATACTATTCGAATAATAGAACATTTCGATAATACATAAAAGAAAATTCGGATCATACTACACTATAAATACTACTAATCAAACTACACTATAAAATTTCACTCAATTCTTCAAAATTATCTTACAAATGTATAAATACTCTATTCAGCATTGTTCATCGTGTGTTTACATTTCAAAAAAACTAACTCAAAAAAAAAAGTTTTGTATTATATTTCTTAAATTACGTATTAAAAAGCATAAATTGAAAATCAGAAGGAAGAATTTAAGAAGTTGAAGAGAATGATTCCGTTGTTTTGCTTTCAACGAGCTATTGCCAATCTGATTGGCTTTGGAAAAAGGCCAACTTCTCGGGGAAGAGCAGTGGAATTAAATGAGTAGAATGCAGAGTAGAATGTCCTGCCGTGACTATCTAACCGGTCCTGCGAAACGTTCTTCGCCAACTAATGGGAGATCCGGATAGTGGTACGACATGGCGGATGGAGAACGTGAAGACGAATGCCTGCTAACTATTCGAGAGGCCAGAGACAATATTGTCGATGGGCAAACTTGGAAGGCGATTCCGTGATCGGTACCAGGTTTCAGTAAGGAATATCGTGAAGGTCTTTGGAAACGTTTCAACGAGATCGAGCATGATTGAGAAAAGTTTCGAGTATTGACGCTGTTCGGACGACGGAAGTTTGCATAAAATTATATTTGAATACACTTGGGTAAGATTACTATGGTTTAGAATAATTGCTATGGAATTTAAATATGTTTAGAAGATTGGGAAGGTATTGATTTTTTTTATCTTAATTAAAAGAAATTAATAAGAGTATTTTATTATTGAAATTATTATAGTGTTTTTTTTTATATAATTTCTAATTTTAATATCCTTATTTAATATTTTTCTTTATCTAGAGAAAATGCAGCATATTCAGAATACTGTTGATAATTTGGAATACAGAAATATCTAAACAATTATTAATATTTTCTAATTTTCAACATTATAATGACTATTAATGAATGACCTATTAATGAATAATATTTGCATAAAATTTGTAATTTTAATGCAAAAAAAATATTATTTCAGCTTTATATTTCACGTGAATTTTGCAAATATTCTAAGAATATAATGCGATACGAGATTTTGAATTTCAATTTCACATTACTGGAATACTGATAAAAGTAATTTGTATTTATATGAAATATTTTATATTCAAAAATCAACGTTATTCAGATAAATGGAATAAAATAAATGATAAGAAGATATTTTAAAATTATTAATCAATCTTAACAAACAAAAGAATTGATAGTAGACTTGTATTTGATGAAAATTTTGAAAAACAATCAACTGATTATGTTAATATAGAAAATAAATTTTATAAAGATTAATCAATATCTAGAGAAAATAATTTTAATAATATTTCTTTTTTATCACTATTCTACTTGCACCTTAATAAAATCTGTCTTGTTTCGTGTTATTTTTTATTTATTTTAAACAAATTAGAATTCCAAATATGCTACGTTTTCTTTATTAATTAGAAAAAACGAAGGAGAGATATGCGTAGATATATATATGCAAATATACAGAATATTAATATAATTATGGACATCTTCAGAGAATCTTCGATTCCAGAGATGAAAGAAGATATAAAAAGTATTGAAATTTATTATTAAGTTATTAAGTAATTTAATTTTATGTTAAGTGAAGCGAGACGGAAATAGAATAAGACCTTCACACATTCTTGTCGCATCCGCCGTCGCGTACTGTTCCGCACCTCGTTTCATCTAATACAAATTTAAATTATTTATAACTTAATAAATAAGCCTTAATCAATTATTTTTGTACAATAATTTTTATACTTCTATCCTCTAAAATTGATTCCCTGAAAATATCCCTCGAATATATTAACATCTATATTTTATCACTTGATTTGACGATGCTATAATAATTCCTTTATACATATAATAGAAATAACGTATATAGGAAAAGCATTACATAACATTACACGATACTAAAATTGTTTTAAAAAAACGAAGGAATGTAGAAAGAAATATAGTCGTGGCGATAGTAATAACGCTCGAACGTATAGTTATTCAGCTTCCTTTTAGCCTCTAACTACATGTTCTATGCGTTGAAAATTCGCATCAACACCCCAGTATCCGTGTACTACACTACTTTATCTCATCCATTATCATCGGACGAGCAAATAGAAATTGTCCGATGTTTATGTCGAATCTCTTTACAAACCGAAGAAAGATGTAAAATAAAAAAAAAAGGAATGTTCGAGTTTTCAGCTCCCTTATTAGTCACGTCGATCAGAGCGAACTTCTCAAGAACGATTCCACCAAGAAGAATAAAAAAAAAGGAGGAGAAGAGGGAGAAGAAGACGAAGAAAAAGAAAAAGAAGAAGAAGAGGAGGAGGAGGAGGAGGAACCTTTTGGACACTTTTTAGCCGACCAAACAGCGAAACCCATATGTAAACGGCTGGACGAGGAACGAGCGTCGAATTTCATTAACTCCCAATTAACGAGTAATAAGTAACTCGTGCCGCGATAAGGATCCAGTTTCCTTGGCGGTGTCCTTCGAAAGGATTTGGTAGTCGCACGAAATCGAATGTTTGCGGACGGTAAGACGAAAAGGCAACCGAGCAAACGAAATCCTGCGCCTATTTTTGTGTCCTAACCAAATAAGCGGTCACAAAGGAAGAACCGCGTTCGAAAAAAAGAAGAGAGAGAGAGAGAAAGAAGGAGGAGAAGAAGAGAGGAAGTTAAAATTGTTGAGAAAACTTGTGGACGAGAAAGCATTAAAAGTTAGCATTAAAAGCGGCAAAAATAAAATCGTTCATCATTAATAAGCACTTTATGACTAATGACTTTATCGCTAATTATTGCTCTTAAATCACGCGATTTAAAAAGTAATGGCGTATAATTTGCGTAATAAAAGGATTTTGCTATTTAAAATCTTCGAGATCTTTTGTCATAGAAAAGAGATTGATTAATTTTGGAATTGGACTAATTTGATTGAGCACAGAAAATTTCTATGTTCACTAATTTATTCATATTTACATCATTGATATGAAATAATATTAAAAACGATATTTTATACGATGTATAGTTTCTTTTCTGTTGCTTTTTATACGTGTTTTTTTTTTTCTTTCGAGAATCCAAAATAATAAAACTTAAGCAATATCTTCTCTTATACGCGAAATAACTACTAAGCATATTGCATATTTATTCACATTCACAAAGTACGAATAAAATATTTTTTCCTAAGTTATATCTATATATAAGTCTATATAAAAATCTAAATCTTTCATAAAAAATAATATTACTTTTCAAAATAACGTAATAATACGTAATATAGATATATGAGAAACGATGCCTATGATGTACGTGGACATTCGTGCACATACTATCCATTAAATAAGTAAAAAGGAAGCGACTTCTGAACGGAAGGTTAAAAAAAAAAAAGTTGAATAAACGTCCATAAATAAAAAGAAGAAATGAAGGAGATCGTGCGTAGTTATGTGCCACGGTAGTTGGCAGAGAGGTGCTACATTTGACACCTTGGCTCCTCTGTAAAGAGTTGTCGAACCACTGTCGTCGCCGATGCCTGGCCCTATGTGGGTTTCGTGCATCGGGAAAAGACGGTTTAGGCGCAATGATTTCCACAAGGTAGCCAAGTGACAAACATCATAGAAAATATGCGGCTCGCGACGATCCTCCATCAAATTGTTACGCGAGAATTAGGAGAGAACGTTTTAGCTTGGCCCTCTGTGTCCCGTACTACACAATTTTCAATTATCATCGATTAGAACGCTCGTCCAAATATAATTTATCGCCGGTCCGTGCAAATAATGAATTAGTAATAGTAGACGTGTATAAATAATATGTCATCCAAACTTTTGACATTCTCTGTGCGATCCCTGTGACTTTCCACACATTTTTCCATTTTTGCGTTTCTCAATGATTTTGCTACTTGCCCACAGATTCTACCGTTCTTCGTTACGATATTCGTCACGCTACGTTAAGGTTACAAATATTAGGAAAAAATTGTGTTTACTCCTAAATGTAACGTTTGTAATGCAATGCAAACGATAGAATATGATTAAATTATTATCTACTCTCGCGAATCTTATTAAATATTTAATCCAATCAATCTAGACAGTGTACGTTCACATATTAGGACTAGCTCGAGGAACGCTAATCCCGTATAATCCTGACGTGTAGGAGGGAAGTGGTCAAGCCTTTCGGGTCTTAAGGGCTTCAATTATCAACACCTAATTATGACCGGTGATCCTAATACAACACCATTATATCAGAACGGCCTTTGAGCTTCCCCTCGAGTGGACTCCCTTTGGCAAATTTGCTCTTTGTACTTTGATAACCCGTGTCCAGACAATGTAATCCTCAAATAGGCTAAGTCATTATATGCAGCCAACGTGATAAAAGTCAGGATGCCAGTTATTCTATCAAATCGTCATTTGCGTGGAAATAGTCGAGTTAATCCGAAGTCATTTTTTCGTGTTTTACATCAGTCCATTTCCTTTATACAATTATAGAAACTTTTTTACCTGATATTGAGCCGTCGTTGGGATGCAGATGATGATTATTATTCATAAGGGATGCGTTGTTGTTGTTTTCACTTCCAGGAACACCACCAGGTCCAGAGCAGAGCTTTCCGCCTTCGAGAACGTCGTGGTCGTGTCTGCAAAACAGGCCGTCCTGTCTCAGGGCAAATTCATCGCCAGGCACTAACTGTCTCATGCAGGCTGAACATCGGAAGCACTTTATGTGATAAATCTTGCTCCTTGCCCTCATTACGTAGTCATCCTTGCTGAAGCACTCGCTGCACTTGTCGCATTTTGTCCCGAACAGCCTGAAACCAATTCTGTATATGTTAACGATTCTTTCACGATTTCGTCTCTCATTGCGTTTTTTATTCATATCTTTGATGCATAGTTATGATCTGATTAAGTACGAATTTAAATATACAACAATTAAATACAAATCTGATTCAAATTGTAGCGAGTATTTGTAGTAAAATTTATTATTCAAATTAGAAATTCTTTTCTCTTTTGCTTATAAAAATAATAATCATTGAAAATCTAAAAGAGTGGAACAGTGGAATCTCTGTATTTATTATTAATTTCTCAAGAGATATAAAATCAATTTTTGTAAGAAGAATTAATAAAAGAAGTAATCAGTTCTCAATCTCGGAACTTTAACTTTTATTGAAAAATGATTGTAGAAAATAAATTGTGAAATACGTAAAAAAACTTAAATTCAAAAATATTGGATTTTTATACGAATTTTTAAAGCATTTTCTTATATGCAAAATGTGATGAATATTGGATTTGATTCCATTAGATTCCATTTGATTCTTAGGATATTGATTTTTCAATAAATAATATTCATTATAACAAGCATTACGTAATAAATATTAAGATATTATAAATTTTATTATAAATTTTATCGTTTTATCGTTTTATATAATAATTTGAATATAATTTTAGTGAATCGTTATTAATATTTTTGCAATGTAAATAGTATTGCAAAAACTAATATTTCAAATTAAACCTAATAATTTATTCCAACTCATATCGAACATCCAAAATTTTAAATTCCACAAAGTATAAAAATAGAAATTATCACTTTTCTTAGACAAATTTATTAATCGTCTCAATTTACGTTGATTTTTCCTGCATATGTCTCCGCGAAATTTCATTTGGATATTGGATCGAACGATTAATTATCGGTTTTTAAGCTAATTGTACTTGTCTGCACCACTTCGTTCAATTTTTTCAAACTAAATTGTATTTATCAGCTCCCTAATTGTATTTATTACGGGTTTTCTAAATTGTTGAGTTTTATTAATTAAAAAAGCTTCATGGAATATATAATTCAATTCTAGTGCAGCAATCAATTAATTATCTATTGCTCGAGTAACTAATTATATATGGTGTAGCTTCATCGATAATTATAATCATTTTGCTCGAGAGAATACATAGAATCATTTTAAGAGCAAATGTTACTATTATAAACACAAAATACTTTCAATGTATAAAATTGAAAATTATAAAATCACATAAATATTAAACAGTAACAATACAATAGGTATTAATAAATTTGATATTCAAAACGTATTATGTAAACAAAGAAACATATAGATAATTATTTTATAAATAATAATCATGGAGCTCAGAAAAATTGAGAAAACTATCAAAATTAGTAATATTCATTTCAAAATAAATCATAATTACAAAAAATTCTTTCATCACGTAATTCTAAGCTCTGTTCCATTGGTCGACAAGCAAATTTATTCGAGAATGGAAAGCATTGAGGAACACCCAGAAGGAAACGTTTTACCCCACGGTTGTTTCGACTTTTCGTACGAGGCGACAGAAACAACAAACAGGCGTCATCGGTGTCTCTCAGGGCTGGCAAATCCATGTCGACCGGATATGCCAGTCTTCTTCTTCGTTTCGGACGCATTTCAATGTTCGATGGATCAATGCAAATAAACCGCCTGTCCCGGACCCAAAAATATTTGCCACAACTTTCCAGGGGGAAATTGTATCGATCGAAGAGTTTTAAAACAGAATTTTTTAACTTTTACTCGCAGTATCGATCGATATGATCTTTTATTTTTGAAAACTTCGTTTTCAGATTATCTTTCTGCATCATTAAATCGCGAAAAACACGGTTTATATTTTTTACATCTCAATATTCATTCACCGATTCTTTCTAAATTTAAAGTGAAATTATTGACTTTTAATAATTCACTTTTTTCTATTTCAATTTTTAAAAAAATGAATATTAAAATAATCGCAATATGTCAGAATACTTCTTCATACCTATTTTTTTTTTTTTTTTTTTTTAGTTTCAAATATGACGTAATTATATCTTGTTTACTTACTTTATTTATTTTTCTTCGACATATTCATTTTGCTATATATAATTTTATTACATTTGATTTTTCCATACAATAAATAAATCAACAACTTTTAAAAAGTATATTGTTCAAGAAATTAAAATCGAAATCACAACAATACGTAACGATTCGAATGAAGATACATCTGTGTATTTTTCTCTTTTACATTGAAAGCGGTAAAATTTGATTGTTTATACTGTTGGCGTAACTTCAAGTTAAGAATTTCGTCGTGAAATGAAAGGCACGAATTCTGCGTTCGATTCCGCAAGTTCGATTCAACCACGTGTGAAGTATACTTTTTGTTACGAATGCATTTCTTCGCACGCAGACGGCAGAAGCTGCTCCGTATATGTTAGATAAAAATACTCCACGAAGAAACGTTTTGTCAGTTCTTACTTTCTGTGCTTCTTCCTTTTCCTTTTTTCCCGTTCGACGCGTTGTACTTTTTTTTTTTCTATTTTTATTTCTCTTCAATCTCGCCGTTTGCAAATCGAGAAGCGTTACCTATATCGCGTGCGTTCGAGAACGTTGTATTTTCTTTGTATAACTGTTGTATGCAATAGAAATCGTTTTATTCGTATAATCGAAAAGAGAATACTTTGGAATTAATTAACGTAGAAATTTTATTATCTATATTTTTTTAATATTATTGAGTCAAAATTGTTTTATTTTATGAAAAGTATAATAACAAAGATATTAGTGAAAACTGGAGAAAATGTTACAATCATTCCAAGATTTACTATCAATTATTTACCAATTTCGATTTTAGAAAATCAAAAGATTTATGGAATTATTGTAGTATTCGTGCTATGAATATAGATAATATGTGAAAATGAAATACCTGTGTTCATACTAATTACAAGTTTTTTTTATTAAATTAAGGATTATTTTATACGACGATGTATACATTATTTTTTAAAAATTTCTTCATATGTTTAATTCTTATGTTCAATTCATCTATTATATCTATATTTTCATGTGGTAAAAAGCAACAATATTGATTATCGAATACTTCTTATTCGTAATATTATTTTTAATCGAAGCTATTAATATTATTATCATAATCAACAATACTTTTCAATTTAAATTACTAATTTTTAACAAAATGCATAAGCAAAATGCAAAATCAGTTATATTTAAAAAGATCAGATTAGAGTTTAGAAAAAAAAAGAACAAGAATACATGTTTGTAAAGAGAATGATTATAAATAATAAATTTTAAAACATAATTTGAAAAGAAAAGTTATTTTAGGATATAGAAAAATTATTTCTATAGGTATATTTATCAATATTATTAAAATATAGATATATGTATTTCAATTATAATTTTTTACTTGTATAAAAAATTTGTGATTGTAATTTATTTATCAACAAGTTATTTTTTTTTAACGTGTTAATTTCGATCTTCGATTATTTTAAATAGTAGTATAATTAATATTATAATAATATAATTAAATATTATAATTATATAATTATTTATGTACGTATATATCTGTAATATATTTTAATATACATTACAGTTCTAGTATTGATTATATAATGACACATTAGAATCCTTTATTATTTCAGTGGAATACCCATTTTCATTATTGTATCACGAAATTCTCTGGATGTAAATAAAACTTTTCTTTTTAATGATGCATAGTACAAGTATGCAAGGCATGCCAAATCTAAATATGTCTCAATGTGTCGTTAATAATAGATTAAATGGTTTTTTTACCTGACGTAATCTCGCTTGCAATAAGTTTTTCCATCTCGTACGAAGCAGGTGCAGTGCTCGTCCAAAAATTGCTGGCATTCCGCACATTTCAAACAAGCAGCGTGCCATTCCAGATTCGGTGCAACTCGCAAAATCCATTGATCATGAATTCGACCACCACATCCCACGCAATGCGAACTTGTACTCTCTGTAAAAAGAGAAAGAATTTTTTAAATATCCATTAGTTTTATTTGCCGTGCAATTAAATAGAGAAGTATATAAATAAATATATGTATTAGAAAAATATGACGGTATGCAATATTTGTACTCATATACTTGTATAGAAATATTAAAATAATAGAAATTTCTATATCTAAATTTTATTTAATAAATCGTTGCATCAAAAAATATTTATTACTTTCTTACAGTATGATTTACATGAAATTCAATGGAAATTGAATTTTTATTTTCTTTAATCAATAATAAAAGTAATAGTGGAAATAGTGGGATATATGTTTTCTTTTGCTTATGATTTTTATTAAAATTATCTGAAAATAAGATTTCAAATTTTGTTCGTTTATGATTTCGCTCGTGATCATTTCATGATTTGATTTTAATTAAAAATTGTAAGAAATGATTAGAGAAATAGTTATTTAATAAATCCTTCTATAATTTTAATGGAATTCATAAATTTATATTTGCACCTTAATTTTACTTTAAATTAATCTCTACGAATAATTTAATATTAATTAAATATTTAATCAACATGACCAAAGCTGTTTCATGAAATAATAACAAATTTAATAAACGATACTGTTACATAATCAAATTTGTAATATCTCATCTCATGTTTCTGGACCAATTTCATTTTACGTGGAATTCATTCCCTGGCGAAATTACTTTACGCTTAATTTTAACTTTATTTTCATTTTTCGCTATCAAGTTAGATTTATTCAAATTAAGTAACTATATAAGATATTTCATTTAAGATTATCATGGAGATTTTAAAAATTTATAAAAATTCTATTTTATTAGCTATATTATATTATTCATTACTATATTCATTACTATTTAATTCTTTTTTAATTGCGTTTAATGTAATTTCGTATCAATCATAAATATGATTATTATAAATGTTGATAAAAATATTGAAATTTAAAAAAAAGGAAAAAAGGAATTAATATTGAAGTGTTTATTACATAATGTAGTATATGTATACTACATTATTTACAATTATTGCATTACTTAATTATTGCAATGTAGAATGTCATAGATAATATTATATATTTTCAAACTAAAAACTCGTTAGAGTTATAAATTTCTATTTAAAACTAGTAAATTCTATTGATTAAAAAATATATTGACTTTTAAATAACCAGAGTTACACTGTCTATAAAAAACAATGAAATGTCAATTAAAAATATAGGTAAATATAATAATTATCCTTTATATATTAATCGATACTTGTTTAATGTTTCAATTATAATAGATTATCCATTAATTATATGCTAACTTCATATCAGATTATCAATCATAAATAATCTGATCATGTTTGATTAAGTGTAACATTAATTCGTTTATTTTTTTAATAAAATATTCGCTATGTTTATTCGCTTTTGTTTCGTTTGATAAAAGATAAGATTGAAATGAATATCTTATAGGATATGAAAAGTATATATTCATCTATGTGGAAAATTGTACAATTAGCGAATTCCTGAATATCAGAAATGATTATCAATTGCATTTAATAAGATATTTCAAATTGGACACATTTATAATTATTTAAAACATATTAAGATTTTATTGACAAAGTTAATTAGAAGGAAGTGCTAATTATTTATCTATTTATATAAAAGATTTAATAAATTAATTATATCATTGAACATAAGAATATGAGTGAAATCTCAATTAATCGTGTTACAATAAATCTTAATTTAATGATAATTGCTCGTAATTAAACTTAATTGAAGATTATCTACAATATTATTGGAATATAAATTTAATTCTAATGCGATTAAATTTAATTCTGCAAAATGAACAAGAATTATTAATTTCTTTATAAATATTAGAATATACGATATTTATATATTATTAAATTTTTAATTTTTTCAATTTTTTACAATTTACAATTTATTAATAATTATTCGAAATCCTTAAATTATTTATGAGTTCATTTAAAAATTTTCAAATTTTAAAGATATTACGATTTTCAATTTTTCTGATTGCAATTCGTTCTACCGCCATTTATTTTTATCGCAAACAATTGTTCATAAATCACATAATCACAACCCACACGCAAATACGTTGAAATCTTTTAAAACGTATGGAAATGATTCTACGAACGAACATCTTTGTTATTCGATAGATATACTTTCGAGTAAAGCGTCTAAGCGCAAAACAATCTTCCTCTACTTTCTTTCCATTGTTGCTTTACAGAATATGCGTAGGTTGATGCCATGTCATTTTACTCGTCAATGTAGACATGTCTTCGTGAAAATTATAGTCATCTTTTGTTTCGACGAGTGGAATACGTATAAAAGCGAAGACAAACCGAGATTTCGCCGAAACGCTATTGATAACTTTTAACACGGAAAGGAGAACAAAAGGATATCAAGAATCCTATTGCTTGTTTTGATCTTATTTACCCTCATGATTTTCAAATGGCGACGCGATGCTCGAACGATAAAAATAAATTCTTTGTATGAAAAAAATTTCAAATCGTGATTATATCTTTTATTTATTGTTAATTGTTTTTCAATATACAATGTCGGATGAAATTGATGAACTTGCAAAACTTACTCATCTTTTATAGTTATTTTATTCAATAATTATAATTATTAAAAATATAAATTCGTGAATATTTATTATACATAATATATTTTTGCTGTTTACAGTTTTAAATTATAATAGAATTATTTTTATAACAAAAATTTATCAATAACATTTCTTCAATTTCGATTTGATTTCCGAAATACTTTTCCGTATTTATTTTTTAAATTGTAAGAAGAATTCTAATTATATTCTAAGACTGCGAACAACATAAATATTTTAAATTTTTTATCCTAAGAAATAATTATTCATTGACGAGAATAAACATAATTCTGCATAACACAGCAAACAATTCTGCGCGCCATTGTATAAAAATATTAAATCTGACTTTTTTACAGAACTTTCTCTAAAATATTTTGATCCAATACTAATTAATACATACATACAAAAAAAACAAAGAGTCTGAAAAGTTTCTTAAAGTATCGATTACGCAAATATCCGAAATTTCGCTATCATCAACTTATCCAAATAAAAACGAAGGAAAAATACAACTGCTTTTAGCCAAATTTCTATTCTCCTTTTATCCACAAATATTTACCAAAATACAGAAGCATACCGGCTCATCCAAACATCCTAAAAGCACTCAGTATATATATATATATATCATGAAACCGAATTCACTCGAATCGGGAGAAAGATGGTAGCAATCATCGAGGAAGAGGGAAAGCAAAAAGGGAGTCGGGTCGAAAAGAACAGGCGTAAATACAACGGCGCACGATTGCAACAGTGGCTGGCCCACTGTCGGCCCATCCATCTGAAATTGGTGGATGTGCCGGGGCGCGTTTGCGCGCTAGAAATGCAGCTCGCGAAAGAAATCCCAGCGAGCAGGGGTGGGAAACGGCGAAGAGGGGAATGGTGAACGCAGAAGGACGAACAGGGGACGAAGCTGGGCGGCGCAGTTTCACCTCGGTAGCTCGAAACTCCGCCCAGATTTCTCTGGATGAAACCATCGAGTCGGCGCGCAACTTCTTTTCTTACGAGTGCCGCGAAACCTAACCCATACTATGCACACGTGAGACGCGTTTCTTCTTCGCATTACGCTCGTTCTACGACGTTGCGTTATCGTGGCGAGATATTCGATAATAAATTTCTCGCCCATCATTCCGCATCATCCCCTTTCGCTCGGACGGTTGTAATATTATTTCATGTTTCGTGTTCTTTTGTTCGTCTTAAATCGTTGATAAAATTCAATCATTTTTCTCTCTTCGGCTTTCGCTTCTGGAATTTAAATTAATGCTTGCGTCGAGAAATAATTAAGTTGAATTACAAATCGTTATTTTGATAAAAATCTCTAAAAATTTATGGTTACGATTTAATTTACTTTCATTTTTCTTGATTTTGTCTTCTTTTGATATTACTGATGATTATTTAATAAAGCGGGTTTTGATTGTTTAATACGTTGAAATTTCGAGAAATTTTAAACATTATTCTTTGCGTACGACCAACTAGTTTTCGAATATTTGCGAAAAAATTATTATTATTATATTTTCATTTATATATATATATATATATTTGTCTTTAATAACTTATTATGCGATCACTATTTATATAAACTGATTATATAAACACGGCAGCTGTTCAAAATGTATATTAGATGATCTAATCATATTTCGTATCCATCCACAGAACGAAGAATCGAACGAAGAATAAAATGTGAAAATAAAGTATAAAATAATTTTTGGGCAATTTAAAAATTATAATGACTAAATGAAAAGTTAATAGTGAGTAGAGAAAATAGGAGATTCTATTTGCAATTGATAAAAATTAAAATGAAATCACGATTTCATGCATGATAATATTTTTTAACAATTATTACAATTTTTTATAAATCAATGAATAAGAGCTTAAATAAAACTAAATATTGCATGGATAGTAAATTTTGACGTTTGAAGTGTTAAATCAGATATCGCAAAGTTGTTTAATAATAATTCATTGTTGTTTTAATATTAATTTCACTGATATTATTTATTAATTTTTTGATATTTATTTATTCACATAATCTACTATATGAATAAGATAGTGAACTTGTTATCTTTTATAATTTTTTTATTCACTTCTTTTATTCACTTTATAATTAATGCATTTCAAAATTATTCATTATAATATCGTGAAATTATATTAAAATATCAAACAAACGAGTCAGACAAAGTTGCTTTGTTTATTCTACGAAAGAAGAACAATCTCGTATAAATATAAAATTATATTATAAATCTTTCTTTAAAAAAATTGGATGTGTTAAAATGATGAAATTTTGCATTATAAATATCAACGAGTTGGATTATTCATATATCAAAATTATATTCGTTAAATTGACAAAAATATTTATTATTATCTATTAATTATATTCGTATTAATTTCTTTATATATAATTTTGTTGCT